GTTCAAACCCATCAGCCACTCCTCAGAAGGAAGATGGGGCAATCTACTTCCGTAGTGATACTGCCTCAGAAACCCAAGGAGGGGTCGCTATGAGTCGGGTATGACTCGACGGCATATAACAACAACATAACAGTTGTTCCTGATCCTGAATTGTAACCTGATACTTTCCTAATAAATCCCATAATCACTCCTTCTTTCTTCAGGAAGAAAAAGAGTACCTGTTACAGTTTATCAACAACCTAGTGTGGCCAACCTACCTTTGGTGAGCTCTACTTATGCCCTGGTCTCCTCGGTTTACATCAGTGCAAAGGACCAGCATCTGTTCATGAAGTCTGTGTGTGAGATTGCAGAGAACAGTATGAAGACCATTATCTCCATAGCCCTGTGAAGTGTTCTGCCTGTTATCCAGAAGCTAGAGCCACAACTTGCAGTTGCTATTATCTATCCCTGTAAAGGGCTAGACAGGACTAAGGATAAACTACCTGTTCCGAATCAGCCAACAAAGCAGGTTGTTGCCCATGTCAAATGTGCTGTGACTGGGGCAAAAGATGCTGGGACTACTACTGTGACTGGAGCCAAAGATTCCGGGGCCAGCAAAATCACTGGAGTGGTGGGTAAGACCAAAGGACCAGTGACTGACAGTGTGGAGAGGAGTAAGTCTATGCCAATGGTACCATTAGCATAGTATTGAGAAGTTGGATGATGGAGCTGGTGAACAGTGGAGTAGAAAATGCACTCACCAAATCAGAGCAGCTGGTAGACTAGTATCTCCCTCTCACCCAGAAAAGAACTAGAAAAAGAAGCAAAAAAAGGTTGAAGGAGTTGATGTGGTTCTGAAACCAAGTCGTTACTAGACTGGTATCTCTGTCTACCAAGCTCTGTTCATGTACCTACCAGCAGGCTTTCAGCAGCAATAAACAAGCTAAGCAAAAAAGCCAAGAAACAATTTCTCAACTCTATTCCATTGTTACCCTGGTTGAATTTACCAGGAATAATGTGCATGATGCCTGTCAGAAAATTAAGGATGCACAGGATAAGTTCTCATTCTCATGGGTGAAGTGGAAAAGAAGCACCAGCCATGATGACACAGATGAATCTCACTGTGCTGAGCACATTGAGTCATGCACTCTTGCTACTGCCTGGAACCCAACTCAGCAGCTCCAGACTGCCTGCCACATCCTCCTGTCCAGCATCCAAGTGTTACCTCAGAACATTCAAGATCAAGCCACCCCCTTGGAAGTCATGCCAGATAACATCTACTCATTGTTCAGCTATGCTGCCTCCTTTAAGGAAATGTCCAATGGCTTTCTCACTTCTAGCAAGGGGCAGCTGCAGAAAATGACCTTTAGATGATCTCATGGATTATCTTGTTAACAATATGCCATACAGTTCACTGGTAGGTTCTTTTTTATCCTCAGCTGAGTCTCAGAATGCCCAGGACCAAGGTGCAAAGCAGGACAAGACCAGCCAGGAGTCCCAGCAACCTGAACATAAATTAAACTTGTTCCTGTCATAGTGTGTGGTTCAGTCAGCTAGATGATATACCTTGTGTTATGTTGAAATTAACTTGCTAAATAAATCTGAATTGGGAAAGTAGGTAGCTAGAAAAATGGTCCTAGTTACTTCCAGCATGTTAAAGAGCTTTTAATTTCTGACATTAGCAAATGCTTTCTGTTGTTTACCTGACTAGTATGAAATGAATGAGACACTCACTTGTCAAGAGTCTAGCCAGAACTCACTAAAAGTTAAAGTGCGCTTATGGCCTCATACTGCATTCATTGTGTCACCACTGTTACTGTATGTTTGTAGTAAATAACTCAAAAAATGCACTGTCATTGTGTCCAATCCAAGTCATGTCCTATGTTGTTGTTGTTGTTATTTGCCGTCGAGTCGGCCCCGACTCATAGCGACCCCTCCTTGGGTTTCCGAGGCAGT